CTGTCTGTCTGTCTGTCTGTCTGTCTGTCTGTCTGTCTGGTCTGACTGTCTGTCTGTCTGTCTGTCTGTCTGTCTGTCTGTCTGTCACACAGGAATACAACAGGTCATGTGGAGTGTGTGACTGACTCTCTGTAAGTCATCGAGAGACTCTGTCTCTGATCCATCACTCAGGGAAAAGATTTAGAACAAATTCACCAGATGTTGAATGAACCTTCTTGTCATTGTTAGTTCTGACAGAAAAAGCAGTAAAAGTAACAGGACTTAAACTATCATTGTTTAATGTACACCAGCACGTTTTTGACCTTTTATATATAATAATAATAATAAACCAGCCACTAGGGATACACTTTTGGGTAGGTCTGGTGCCGGTCCCAAGCCCGGATAAATGGTGAGGGTTGCGTCAGGAAGGGCATCCGGCGTAAAACTTGTGCCAAAACAAACATGCGGATCACAAATAGGATTGTGACAGAGGATGTTGGAGATGGAGCTGCCAGGTAGAAGGAGAAGAGGAGGACCTCAGAGAAGGTTCATGGATGTAGTGAAGGAGGATATGGAGATGGTTGGTGTAACAGTGGAGGAGGCAGGGAATAGGGTCAGATGGAGGCAGATGATCCGCTGTGGCGACCCCGAGAAGGGAGCAGCCGAAAGATGAAGAAGATATATAATAATAATAATAATATATTCAGTGAAAAATGCTTATACAGACGCCCTCTTGTGCCACAATCTGCTCATTGTACATTTAACATAATGATATTTATAGTAATATTTGTAAACCCATCAGAGAAATGTAGGTTTCTTACAGTAGTGTTCTATCCGTTAGTATCTTGTTTCTGTTTGTGTAAGTTGGTAAAAAGCATTCATATATATGGCTCGTTATAATCCTTTGAGTATTCTTTCTGTCATCATTTATCTTATTCAAACATAGCTTATTAAAAAATGTTTTCTTTTCTCATCCTAAAACAAACTGATTATGTCCTCAGTAATTATGTCACTGTTCAATGATTTCCATCAGATTTTGTATTTCTCCCATTCCTTATTTATCTATGGATTTGAGAATGATCTTTTATTTCTCTCTCTTTTGTCTAAGGTTTATTTTGTTCTTTTACTTCTTTATTTCTCTTGTTGTCCCATGTACCATTCTGTGAAAGGGGGACAGAGAGAAAGTGGGGGAGGACATTGCAGAAATGTCCACTGGTCGGAGCCGAGCCCGGGCCGCTGCAGGTTGAGGCCTAGTTGGAGCGGCAGCTCTACCAGGTGAGCTATACTCCGCCCCCATCATATGTACATTTAGTTGTATTATTCATAAGTTAATATTTCTTATATCCAGTCTCCTCAGGTCTTTCTTTGATTTTAACTCCAACCTGACGAGTGGATGAACCTAAAATAAATTCGGTGGTAATGCTGTGACCTCTGAATGAGTTCTGCTCTGTGCAAGCTCACACTGACATGCCTGAGGATTGTCTTGGCACATACAAGGGTGACTCCCTGCACAGATGGGCCGAGGTGCTGCTGCAAACCTGTCTGATGTCATTCCTGCATCAGGCACAGCACAGAGCGCCTCGGGCCAAACGGCCTGCTCACTTTTTTTTTTACACCCCACGATGAGAATGTTTGCTGTTGTCCACATGCCAGGATTCAGGAGCCGCCGCTCTCTGCCATTTAAAAGTTTGACAGACACTCCTCGAGACCTGAGAGAGTATCAGTCTACGTTTGAGGAGTTCACAGAGGGAGGTTTGAGGCAGGGTCACAGAAATGAGAGAATAGATAAGATGACCACTGTGTCTATGAACAAAATGTGGACATCATAACACATAAGTTTGATATCACACTTCTAACTGATATCAAGTGATCTGAAGTCACTAAATCTACTCTGCTGACTTGGGTTAGACGAGGAGCTTTTCCTGCAGCAAGTTTGACACTTTGAGGTTGAATGAGTTAAACTCTCAGATACAATCCCTGCCTGTAAGTGGTTGGTGCAGATTTCACAGCAGTCTGTAGTTGAGGTGTGGTACCAGTAGCTGATGTCGCCCTGTCAGTACAGGATGAATACTTTACATAGAACAAGAGCGCTAACCTACATTTAGTGCTCAGAATACAAAGCAAGAACAGAAACATGGTCTTGATTGTTATTTCTACACCTCAAACCAAAGCATGTAAAGTATCTGATGACCTATTCTGTGATTTTGTTTTCCAGGTAATAATATTATTTTTGTTGTAATGATTCCTTCCTGTAAAGAAGAAGGGTTTTTTCTCTGCTGAGGGTTGGATCAGTTCAATGTCTGACTAAATAGTTCTCTGACTACCTCTACCGGTTTTTCCTGAAGATTCGCCCCAGGCTTCGCCAGGCACAGAGAGAGAGAGAGAGAAAGAGAAAGAGAGAGAGAGAGAGAGAGAGAGAGAGAAAGAGAGAGAGAGAGAGAGAGAGAGAGAGAAAGAGAGAGAGAGAGAGAAAGAGAGAGAAAAGAAAGAAACATGCACTGTTTTAGATGTGTGTTCTTTTCTTTTGTTTTACATATCAAAGAGTTATTCATCTTCATTTATATGACATTTTAATTAAGAGACAGTTGAGAGGGGGAAACATGGAGGGGTTGATTGACAGGCTCTCTCTCTCTTTAACAAGTGGGTGTGTCTTCATGTCTCGACACGGCGTGCTGTAGTTGATAGACAGCTGCACTCATCTCTGTACCTGAGACACACGAGGAGAGAACACTCAGAGTCCTCAGAGTGAATGTGACTGACTCTGTGGACACGGCGGCCACCATCCTCGGGCCTCCTGGACGAGCGGGGGACAGCAGCCGGGGACAGGTGAGTACCATCACCTGTAAAAACCATGTAGTACAGTTTAGTCTGTGCAGCTCCAGGATGTGACAGAGTGAACAAACAAATGGGTTTATTCAGTCACCAGTTTTCAGAGCAAACACCTGTTACAGATAGTGTGGATCACAGCGATGAGTCAAACAAAGTTTTAAAAAATCACATGAGCCTGTACACCAGGAAACACCTGAATGTGTGAGCTGCTGTTGCATTTGTTGGTCTATTTAGTAATAAAGCAGGAATTGGAAGTGCAGGATCAAACATGCACCACTGACACACAACACCTAATGCTGACACACAAAATGATAACTCATGTTTACTCTTCACAGGGTTGTTTTTGTATGTGTGTCTGTGTGCATCAGTTCTGTTACCCGCACAGCTAGAAACTTTGCCTGGGAATTTCTGTGAGCAAAAATTTCAGTCATTGTTTCTGGTCGTGTGTGTAATGTGCATCCAAGAACAAGCGGTGGAGCTGTGGATGGAGGGATTTAGTCAGCTGGAAATGAGTCTGAAGTGGACGAGAGGCCAAACACCTGCATCATCTCTACAGAACCTGACATCTGTTAAACAAGCAGTGGGAATGACAAGCTGCCAGTCCGCTGTTGGCAGGATTCATGTCTAATCGCTCTTTTAATAGCCTGCATCAGGGATCTACGCTCTGATCGGGAACTCATGCGGGTTATTGAAAGTAGAACATGTGTCCTGTCTGATTTTGAAGGTGTTACTCTCCCAGTAGCAGCAGGAGCCACTTTTCTGGTTATGGAGGTGCAGCCTCCAGTAATTTGGTTGTGACATATCCCAGCGAGGGCATGGCAGTGATGTTACCACATGCAGACGGAGTATCAGTATGTCAGGTATGTTGGTGAACCAGCTCCACTCAGCCAATGATGGGTGTAACTCTGTACTTACCTGGAGAGTGGAATGATTTATTAAAAAGTGCGGACAATAAAAAGGCTCCCTGCCTCTGACAGTAAACTGATAGTACAAGGAAACTGAGAAATGAAATGAGCATGTGATTCATTTTGAGAAAAGGAGGCCAAGTTAAAGACAATCCATTCATGCAAGGTGAAAGTATTTCATGTGTATTGTTGTATGTGTATTTTATGGTTTCAGTGATTATGATTGTGTATGTGCTCCTACAGAAATAAAAATTAGACTTTACTGTGTATATGGAACTACTTTCTTGTCTTTCAGCTTGAATTGGTGCAGTTAGTATTTGTATGTGCAAACAGCTGGAGGTTAGTTTTTTCAAACTGGTCTCACTTTCATGTGGTGTTGTTAAACATTGATGTGCAAACACTGACCAGGATAACCTGTGTAACCCTAACCCCTGTGGCATGAACCTGACGAGCCGGCAACACCACAACTTCAAATGTAAAACGTCAAGGCATGGATGTTTGTTTTTTCCCAGCCTCAATTTTAAAACTCAAAACAGGTACTCAATTTGGTTAAGTGAGAGTGGCAATGAAGGGTAATTACAAGTGTGGTAATGAAATCATTTAAAAACAAACAAGCACAGATATTTATCAAGGTAGTCTGAGGCCTCCACCCTTTAGTTTTACTGATCAGAGTTTCATTGACTTAAAGACATTCATAAACTGTAGAAATGCTGATACAGTTTATTAGATTTCAAAATGCTATAAGTAAAAGCAAAAAGGTCCGTTACATTAAGTGCCAACACACGTGTGTTGATTCATGATTGGAAGATTGCATACAAGCCCAGGATTAAAGAAAGAATTTAAACATAACACTCAATGATGTAGACAGCACTCACATCCAGTCTTATGCACAACATCATCAATATACAAAGACATCATCACAAACCCGTTTGTATATCTAACTTTCAACATGTCCACAAGGTGGTGCTGTCATCAAAGAATAAATTAGGAGTTCCACCTTCGTGGGCGGGGCAACTTTGCTACAACCACAACTTTCTAAGCTTCACCCCCCCCATTTTCAGGTCCCTGAAAAAAAATTAAACATATGGCACAAATCCCATTCTGTCAACAGCGAATAAAACCTCATCGATTCGACAACACCAGCACGCAAGGCTGCATGTCACCAGCAACACACGTCACATGTAGGCAAAGAAAACAACACATCCATCTTCTCTAAACAGGGAGGGAATCATTTAGAGGCTGATTCATAATTTCAGCAACATTTATTACGAGAGAACATAGAAGCGGCGCTGAGGCCAGCCGAGTCCACCTGAATGTTCAACGACTGAATGTTTGTTGACTTTAGACAAACGTTTCAGTCAATGTAAATATATCCTTCAACAGCAACAGAAAAGAATGGATTCTGGAGCGGAAAAAATTAAATAAAGAAAATAGGTCCCTTCAAGCAGTAATATTTATTTGATGTCAATGAATTTCCCTCAATCCAGACACACTTCCATTGTTGGAACTGCTTCTTCAGACAGGAAATGATCTCTGCCTTTGAGTTTGACACAAAGATAAGAGGACTGGAATTGACGTAGGAATTTTTTGGGAACAATCTGAGGAAAAAGCTACAAAGTACTGTATAAAAATAAATTATAAGGCTCCCTTTCTGAACAAAAATTCCTGGTGGGACAAGATCTGAGGACTAAAGAGAGAATCTTGTATGTTCCACAATTGGTTGGGGGGGGTACATGATTTGGTAACAGGTTTAATTTAAAAAAAACAAAAAAATAAAATAAAAGCAGATATTCAATCGCACGCTGTCTGTGCCATAAGCACAAGCATGAATTCAGGTTTGACACAGACAAGCCGATGTACATGCATTTCATTTCTGGCTCTTTCATGAGCCAGTTTTGGTTTGTAATTGTAACAAGCCGATATGCAACATTGGCAGGAAGGTGATATATTGTTCAGCAGTATTTGAGCGAGCACATTTTCTGTTCATTCACAGGGAGAAGATTATTGGCATTTTGTGGCTTTAGCCCTTTCTAACAAAAACGAAGAGGGAGCCAGATCATTGGATATAGAGCTGAAATGCATGTACACAGTTGTACACTTTCAGTAAGCATGCACATAGAAACAGTGAGTCGTACACAGAATATCATCTTTCAGTTGGAGGGCGAAGGGGATATAAGTGTCCCCTGTCACAAGCTGAAAAAGACATTTAAATGTCCATGGCTCATCACAAAGCTCCGCCTCCTCTGCACTGGAACAACGCGGTAAATGTCAGAACGACCAGCATCTTGATAAAAGGCTTATTTATTTTTTTGTTTTGTTTTAATACAGCAATGGAAACATGTCCCTCCGGAGTCATACGCTGTGTGGCACATGGATAAGGCCTGCGAAGCCTCGTTGAACAGCATGACGAGAACAGATCTGCAGCACGGGTGATACAAAGCAGCTGCCGTGTTGGAATCTAAGACACTGTAGCATCCATGTTGGACCAGACAGGCACGTCCCATTAAGAGTCATGAGGAAATGAGAGATTGCATGGTTATATCCAGCAGAGGCCTCGAGCCCTTGTGATGGCATGGTCCACAGATGGGACGAACATCAGCACATGACGAGCACAGCAGACGAGGAGCCAGTTCCTCTATTTCAACAGCTAAGAATAATGGGAGTTATGTCACAAAGCTGCTCTTTTGGCTTGTCTTGGTGTCGAGTCAGTTAAAAGAAATAACAATCAGAATTTACAAATAAAAAAAGGAAAAGATGAGTGTGGTTCCAGCACTCACAGACCCACTTCCTTAAGTCTGGGCAAACTTTGGAGGGTGAAAAAAAAACAAACAAAAAAAAACCCCATTGCAAACTCATTAGATTGTCCCAAAGCTTTTGGTCAACAGGGTGTGAATGGTTGAAAACAAAAAGATAAATTATATATATATATAAAATAATAAAAAAAGGACCGACAGCATGCCTGGACGTGGCCTGAGTCACCGCTTGTAATAGGCACCTGGAAAAGAGAAGAGAGGACTGTGATGAGAAACTGTGCCGGTCATTTTTCACCATTGATTCACTGAGAAAATAATCAGCAGACATTTTGTGTTCATGTGTTTTGGGAGTGTAGCTTTGACAAGAGGGCCAGTGGCAGGGGGTGGGAGGTGTGTAAGCTAAAAAGCAAACTAGTCTTATCATCCTACAGTATGATAAGACTAGTTGAGTCATATGAGGTCACTGTGACCTTTGCCCTCTGAAATCTAATCCGATTAGCTTTGAGTCTGAGTGACAACTGGTCCACACTTGAGGAAACCATCCAAATCTAATCAGTTAATCAAGAAATTCGTGAAGACGTGCTTGACATATCGTGTTCAAGAGAATGGAACTGATGGACGGACAACCTGAAAACATAAACCAAGGAGTACACATCTAATCTGTAGAAAAATAAAAACCAGCAATGGTAACAATATTTACTGATGAGAGTGTGGTCATTAAACAAAAGGAGCATCCTTATTGAATGAAACAGAACTTTGTTTGAATGAAGTAAACAGCCTCTCTCTCTCACATCGACGTGGTACCTTTGTAAGCAGCCTCAGGTCTGGTGGGAGCACGCGGAGGGGCAGGATGGTCCGAGTAGCCGTAGCCAGGATTAACATTCTCATAGTCGTGTGGTTGTCGAGGCTGAGGAGGCCTGAGACATACAGAGAGAGAAAAACAGAAAAAAAGTATGTACAGATTGAGTTTCTACTTGTTGGACTGGAAATGTTTGGTTTTCAGAAGTGATGAGTCTTGTACCTGGCAGGCTTGTTGTGGTTCCTCTGCCTCTGGTGTTCATACTCCTCTCGTGTTCTGGGCCGCACGACTTCCTCCGAATTTGGCTGGAAAACAACAAAAAATTACAGCTTCTATAATTATGGTTTTTCTACCACAGTGGAAAGACAGTTCAGCAAACATTTTTCACCCCACATTTTAAACTGAGTATAGCGATGGAAAATTACCCTGTAGTCTCCTTCTTGCCGCCTCCTTTCCATTGCCATCCTCTCCATGGCCAACCTCTCCCTCTCTCGTTCCTTCTCTTTCTCCCGGTCTCGATTCTTCCTGTACTCCTTTTTCTCTTGTTCCATCAGCAGTCGGGCAATTTCCTGTGAGACACAGACACGTAAACATCAACTGGATAAAAACAGCCACACATTTTACAATCATACGTCTGTTTAAGTATTAACTTACTGACATTAGATATTCAGGATTTTATGTCAAAACAGATTCAGCTGACTGAGCTCAGGATATGAAATATTAAAATAGCACAGGTAGTGTGAGAAACGTTTCCAGATGTTATTTCTCACCTCATCCTGCGCCACTTGGGCTGCATGCATGTGCCCCTTGCTCGCCTGAAACGAGAACATAGTCAAGAAGTCACATTTAGTCCCGAGTGGAACACATTGTTCTGACATTATATAACAGGAAATGACAGAGATTGAGACTTTCAGGATGATGTTTTCACAATCATTCTTCAAGTCATTAATTGCAGTGGTTCTCAAGGATGTCCGTGAAAAGATCACCAGATTCATCCATTAAGTTATCATGATGTTTGGGTATTCTGTGTTGACATGGTGAAAATATTTCTAATGCATGTCGAATTTCTTTCTAAGAAACCCTTTGTGTTGTTTTCTGTGGCTAAGTAGACATGTAAGAAAATAGGCAAATTATTCCAAGGGACATAAATGAGGGGTTCCCTGAATATTTTCTCTTGTGGGGTCCTTGGCTGAGAAAAAAATTAAGATTTATAGCAGAATTATTACAGTTCTTCTGTCTCAGGTAATCTGATCACAAGTAGACAGTTTAGCTCTAAGTACAGTGTGAACACACACACGACACATTGATGACTGATTTGTGATCCTCCTCTGAATGTGGTCTGAGTGATTGTGGCCACATTCTATTAATAGTGTGAACGCAACGGCGTCCTTGTCCACATCGAAGGATCGCTTACTCAGCTGACGCTGTCCGACCCGCGACAGTTTCATAATGAACTGAAAGTATTTTTAGACTTCGCAGAGTTTCCCATTAATTGATTTATGACCACAACATATTGATCATCTATTTTTATCTGCTTTACCATTTCAAATGATATTTCATTCTAGCACTGTGTGCTGCACATTGATTTGCTCCCTGCCATCCTTTCTGTCTCTCACAAACACACAGACATAGTCAGACTGTCTAAAACCAACATCACATTTTGGTCTTTGCAAACAGAGACGATGTGCGTGCTAACTTGCATATACAGCG